ACACGCGACGCATTCGCGGAATTTTCCCTGTAGCCATTCCGATGCGAGAGCGATGAGCGAGAGCTTTCGTTATGATTACGCGTTACGTAAGCTCGCTCGTGACGCGCGTATCTGGCGACGTTCGGTGACGTAATTGTACCCTTTAGCCAGGCCGCGAGAGTCTCATTCTCACTGGCGCGGCGCGGTGTTTCACGAGGCGGCCGGGGGCAAGCGGAAAACTGCCTCGTGTGCGAGGAACACAAGGCGGGAGAAGACGTAAAAGCGAGCAAACCTGGCTTCCCAGCAGATGCGCCGCGTGGTTTCGCAATGCGGCAGCAGAAGACGCCCGATGTTCGTTCACGTAGCTCGATCGCACGGAAAGGCGAAGAGGACACGTTCCCAAGGCGTATTCCGTGCCTGATCCTATAATGCAAGTCGTCCGTCCCGGTTTAACCCGTTACCATCGGCTTCCAGCAAAAATCGAAACGCGCTCCTCCGGACTCTCCCGTTTACTCCATCCGTGTTCTTCGATATCCGACCTCCACGATCCTCCGAGCCGCGTCCGGATCTGGATCGATCGACGCAACGTTCGTTAGCGTACCGATCGAAATCCGACAGCCGATTTTTCTCTGTCTGTACAATAGAGCCAGTCATCCGTCAGAATATAGATTGAAGCAATCACCGCCTTTAACGATTCACCTATATGGATCCTTGAATTACGTCCAAATTATTTTGACAATTGCTATAATATACAACAAATACTCTTGGAGGTCATATTTTTTGAAGCAAACTAAGCGAGCTACGAGGGGCGCTGATTCTTCGAGAAGGTCTCGGCACACTGCGCGTTTTCACACGTGCCACGAAGATCGATCGTCGCCGATCGAAACGAGACGGGGTGAAACGGATCGATCGATCGTCAGATCGAGCGCGATCTCCTTGATCGCCGGAGGCGTCTAGACCGGAGGCCTGCATGGCCTGATCACGGATGAGAGTGGGTGGAGCCGCAGTTTCGTTGCTCAATAAGAGAGAGAGAGAGAGAGAGAGAGGATGTCCTCGAGAGTTATCGCGATAAGAAAGGCCATCCTAAGGACACGCTTGGTTTCAGAAGAAGGAGCCCGATAACGATCGACATCGTCTTTCTCGGTTCGTATCGGCAGCGATGTTCGGTTTCCAAATGTTGCCACTGAGACAGCCGTTCACGTTCCACCAGCGCGTTAAGAATTATATTTCACTGATGAAGACCCGTACGTGCTTTAAGAACCTATGAACTATTCGCACGGTATGCAGTAGCACCCTTGCATTCGCGGAAGATTGGTTTCGAAACTATTCGTGGATAATAGCACATCCTACTTTTTTTTTCATTAATATATTATACACGAAGAAATTGTTATTATATAATAATACTATCTAAATATATAAATGTTTCAAAGCTCTTATTGAACCAATTTTCTACAAGTTTGACAAAATTCTAGGAGCATAATCTACAAATGAAAATAAGAAAAAAATGTTATATAAAGTTTGTTTGTGAACGCTTTGTTGCAAAGTTGCAGACAAATATTGAACGCAGTCTGAATATCTCTGTACTCAGAAGACATGTTTTAATGTACAGGGATCGTTGAAAATTTGTAAATTCTCGTTTTTCAAAGTGATCACCTTCTGCATTGATGCAGGCTTGACATCGAGGTGTAATGGAATTTATTGCATTTTGAATTCCTGGAGAATTTTCCTCCATCTCGAATACTCGATTCTTATGTGTACTTTTGTACTGTGTTCTATTGAATTCTGTTTTAGAATTCCCCACGAGTCAAAATCAGGTCTCTTGCACTTGGAATCTGTTGCCAAGCATATAATCAGACTACGATCAATCAATTTGTAACAAATCAATTTACAAACAAATTTTATATAACATTTTTTTCTTACTTTCACTTGTAGATTGTGCTCCTATAATTTTGCCAGCAAAATGGGAAACATCTCGTCTATATATGGATTACTAAGAAACTATGCTTTTAAAAATGCAGTTATAAACATTATTTTTTGATATTTACTTTGAAATTCATTACAATCTGCGATCAACCGCATACAATATTTATTGCAAATATTTTTACAGTGACAGAAAGTAAAACCCTATGTCTACTAGTCGTCGCGTACTTTACGGTGTTTTCTTTGAATATGCATCTATATATATATGGTTTCCTTCTTAAGGTATGAACATGGCGAGCAAGTCGTAATCACAAGGTAGCTGACTTGTCAGCTAATTGAAAGTGAAAATGTACTACTTTACTGCTGTCTTTATATGCTGTTGCACTTATTTTAATTGATTTGTTTTTTCAGTCAGCTACATTGCGCTCGCAACCTGTTCGCTATATTCTAACTCTATACATTGTAACTTGCTAGAAAAAAATTTACGATGGTTTTTGCTGCTTATAAATCTGTGCGATCAATGGCATTCAACGATTACGACTACAATCGCGCATTATCTCGGATAAATATGGAGAATAAGTGCACAATAAGTTCCACAAGTTCCTTCTGAGTAAGACATTGAACTCTGACATAGATCGTGTTCCTTCGTATTCTACAGAAATTTAATATAAATGTTCTTTTCACGTGCATTGGAAAGTTCCTCCTCTTTAAACCTAAGATTTATCAAACTAGGACAATTCGATCCTGCTTCTAGATTGTTCGTTATCGCTAGCGAATATCAAGATATGCACAATCGTTCCAACGATTCTCGACGATTCTCGTTGAAATCTAAATTCCATACAGAACAATGCGTTTACAATCTACAATTACCTGATTTAATTATTCGGTATATGCATAACGCAGGTTAATTCCATAAAGTTGCTATCAGCAAACAAGTCGATGAATTATTCAATCATATTTTATTTGAAAAGACTAAACTTCTTTAAACCTCTTCAAACTCCTACTCTGCATGATTTTGTCATCCGTTGTTCTTCCACCCCCGTCGTCCAGTTCCTTCAGATTAATCTAATCTACCGTCGTACGTGTTCTTTCTTTTTATAATTTTGTTTTCGAGTAAACGCAGCAGTAAACGCAGTTGTCCTCGTTGCCCATCGGACGAAGACTTACGGCTGTGTCGAAGAGGATGCCGTTACGCTTCCGCTTAAGGAGCAGCTAATGTCAGTCATCCGTCTTCGATTTCTCCGCAAATTTATTCGTCTGTGATCGTCAACGAGGCCAGTTCGCGTCAGACCGGCCAGTAGTAATGATCCTGGTAATCGACGGTGTCGGATGCAAAACACGTCCATCACCGATCACATTATCTCGGAGCGCTCAAAACGTTACTCATAAAGGAACAAAAATAGAACTGTTGAATACGTCTTTGATTGACTCGTGTCGATTGAAGGATCCATTGTAAGAAGGAGCTATTGATACTCTTAATAGTACCATAAGTATCTTTTAATTAATATTGTTATTTTTATTTGTTCAAACTTACTCGTATGAAAATATATATAGGAAAATGTTTTTCTTTTCTTTTATTTACTTAATTCTGGGGATTAAAATTAATTATGTAAAAGACTTTATGAAAACTGTTCTTGCCAGATATTTTATTTAGAAATGTTTCATTTAGCAAAATGTGTTCCTAAGCATTTTGTTTTGCAGAGACAATCATTCACACGCGCGGTCGTAATAAAAAATCAAGGAATCTCCAAAAATTAAGGGATGCCGGAATTAATAAAAACTCATTTTTCAACGTTTGTTGTGACGTTATTCGCATTTACACTGGATCCCAGAATGAACTTCAAACTTTTATGACGTTAATTTATGGATGAAAATTCTGAGTAGCTGCTTGCGATTTTCAACGTTGCGTCGTAAATTATCGTATCGTTTCACGAACGAGTGGCAAGAGGTGTAGGCGAGAAGATCACGTCGAGAAACCGAGACTCTTCGATTTATCGGACACATTAAGCATCCTTTAGCTTTCAGGAGCTCATAATCGGGCAGAGTACACGTAATTCGCTGTTTATCCGGCCATGTACAGCAACGTGATAATCTCGTTGTACAACGTATACGAGAGAGATGGTCCTCGAGAGAATGTATATCGAAGGATTCGAGGTGGAAAGATCGAGCAGTTCGATCGAGCAGACGCGACCCAGACGAATTCCGATCCGTGGATCGATACGAGTCCATTTGCCCGGCCTGGCTCCTCCTCGTCTTTACGCGGAAGTAACGGAGCACTGTCCACGGAATCTTAAGTGATTCTCTTTGTGGATCGTTGATCCCTAGAATTGAGATCACTGCCGACGCAGTATCATTTCGTCGGCGACATTAGAATGCCGATTATATCGATACGACTACGAAAAAAAAAATCGAGCTGACTGTTAAAAAACAAATTTTACTACAAATTAATATTTTGTTATTATCTGTTTTTTTTCTATGAGACAGAATATTCGTATTATTTTTTTATCTATTTTAAAATATTTTATTTCAAAACCCGGTCAAAACTTTGCAGCGTATTAAAGTTTCAAAAGAATTAATAATTACAAAATAAATAAATACTTTACTTGTGGTATTAAACTATTGTTTATTAAAATTCTGGTTGATTAGACTTAAAATTGAAATTTCAATTAATATACAATATTTTTATTTGTATAAGTTCTTAAAATTTATTTCTTCTAAAAAGCAGTCAACTCCAAATTTCTAGACTTCTGTATTTGTTTGTTGTTCACAAAGCGTACAATGTGTCTGAACAAAAAAAAAATTACACGATGTCTCTAAGATTCCAAGATGAGACGTATAATAATAATTTATTCATGTATCTCTCGAACAATCTGGGGATTCTTGGATTAATGGGATTCTTGAAAACTAGAAGTACACTTCACGTTCGAGGATCGTGTTATGTAACGATTGATCGATTTTCTTTCGACTAAATATCTGCGACTTTTTCGTGTCATCTCGACGTTTTTTTTGACCTTTTGTCAGATGGTTCAACATCGACCGCCTCCTTACGCGACACAACAACGGCGCGCGATTATGCTACTACGAGCGTGTAGACTAGCGTAGATCAACAGGATGGTAAAACAGAACGTGTTCGGATCAGTCATTCTCGTTTGCTCTGGGGAATAGAAAGCCTCGTGTCATCGTCGCGCATTTGCATGTCCTATTCGCCAGCTCCGATTTAATTCCTACGTGTTACCTAATGATCGTGTAAAAATAAAATTCTTGAAGTCATGCATTGGTATATTGTGTAAACAGCCAATCACTCTTTTACAAGATGTAGAATAACATATCACGCGTCAAATAATACAGATCTAAGTTAATTTATGACTGGCAATGAATCACTTGAGGAATGATGAGTTACAGATGTGGCGCGGTAATGCCACGTGGTAGCAGACAAAAGTGACTGAATATTAAATAGCGAACATTTTATAACTTTGTTTTACAGTTACAAATACACTCACGTTTTATTTACGACCGACAGGGTGATTATTGAACGATGGATAACGCATGGGCGTTATCGTCTTTCTCGTTTCATCTCGTATTATATCTGCTCATTTCTGTTATATTAAAGAGGATATTCCCTTGAATAAATAAATAAATTAACAATTAGTAATATTATAGATAGATTGTTGTATCTAAATATTTTATAAAGAAAAGTCATGTAAAATCAAGAAACGATACTTGAGTACCAAAAAAAAGTATTTACTGTTTTGCTTTACAATATCATTTACTTGTTTCACTGTGACCATTGTAATTTCTGGATAACTTACAGATCATTATTAACTAGAATATACAAAAGTATAAAATTAAGAATTTGAATGATTTTTACATTACGATAGAAACAGAATGGAACAAGAGAGTGTATGAAATTAATTAGTTTCACGTATCACATTAAAAATAAAGTTTGTCAATATTGATTTAAAAAGAAGGAAATTCGTTTGTACTAAGACAAATAATTTTGTCATTTAGAATATCATTTTAAATTAATGTCCGTAGCACATACACACACATATTTTTTATAAATCGATCGTAAATAGAATGTATTTATATGTGAATGTATATGTAATTGTAAAATAAATTATGAATTCTTCAATTCTTCATTTAATATTTAGAATATACTTGGAATGCAAGGGTAATCGTTTTAAATCTTTGCTTGCTATCTTTTCTTAAGTTAGCGTCAACTAAATAGAGGTATGAGAATAAAAAAAAGAGAGAATTACGACAAAAGAGAAGAAAGAGGACATAATGTGCAGAAAACAACATAGAATAAAACAGTATAAAAAATGGTAGCGTGAAATAACATGGCACAGAATAAATATTCTTAGCTTTTAGTATTAAAACTCTTGCCTTGTAATATCAAGTCACGCTCATGGTACGAATTATAATTTCAATTTGAAACAACATAATACATAATCCTTCAAATTGATTAATAAATAATACAAATCATACGTAATGATTAGAATACGATGTAGCAAGTTATAATAACCAATACTTACTTGAAAGAAATTTGAAAAAGAAAACGTATGGATTAAAAAAATATTATTTCACATTACTTCGCTACTCTATTTATAACAAATAGTAATCGTGATTCTCCGCGAAAGCCCAGTTCTTGCGAGAAAGATTCTTCCACGAGAACGAAAATTCCACGAGGCAGAAATTAGTCCAGGCGCCTCCGTCTTTCATGTTCCACTAGGTCGTGAATGAGTCACGACGCGTCTGCAGCGAGGATCTACCAGGGGTCTTTTTGCCATTCTGCGTCACGGGAATCGGCGGTGCACGGTGAAACGGGACGGGAAGCGCGGTCGATTTTTTACCAAGAGGATCGAGAATCGTCGCGGCTGCGAAGCGTAGAGCCACGCCACGACAAGGAAGCAGAAAACGAAAAGAAGAGAAAAGAACCGGTTCGATCGACAGCCAACGATACAGAACACCGGGAGAGAGACTGGTGCCTTCCTCGTACTACACGCGGTGCCCGCAAATAGCCGCATAATGATAGACTCCGTACGCTTGCTATATTCGGCCGCGATAGTTTCTAGAGAAGGACGATACCAAAGGGAGGACAAACGAGCACCAGTGGTAGGGGGACATGACTGGAAGGAAGAAAGAGAGACGAAATTAAGCGGAGAGAGAAATTCTGCCACCGCCGCGAGAAGGCCACCGCGACCGATGATGGTTCACGGAAATCGGAGCAGGTTTCAGCGACCTTGATGTCCTCAACGACGATGACGTCCCCGCGGACAAAAATCAGGATTCGAGACGACACGGTATGCGCGTGACGAGATGAATTCCTCGTCGAGACGTATATTTTCGAGCGGCCTTGTTTCAACCGGTGGGTCCACGTGGTTCTTTCTATTTTTTAGATTGCGCCAATCCTCTTACGGCTACGTTAGATCAACATTATTGCGAAATATAGTTATAGACACTGTCGCTTAAAAGTCTTAGGGCATTTTCTTTTTACTTTTAATATTCAGTAATATCTATCGTAGATAATAAAATTTTTAACCCTTGTCCCTTGGTAATGAGGCTCTATTTTTCTAACACCATAATACATATTTTTGGTATTTTTGACAACAAAATATCGCCAGAATTATTGTTTCTAGTTATTATGCTACAGTTATGCATTTATGATAAGCATTTTTAAAAATGCACATTTATGGTTTTGAATATAGTTGTAACAAGTGATCGTAACATTAGACCTTAGAGAATTGAACAGTTATAGTAAGTGAGAGTAAGATTTATGCGAACGATATACACAATTGAATAGAAATTTAAATTATTAATGAATCTGCAAATTTCACTATTTATCTTCTCATTACAGGTATAAATTTTTTATCATTTTTGTCAACTTAACACCAAGAGGCAAATTAAGTTTAAAAACGAGGATTAAAAAGCTTTATGCTTGTGTAATACAATAAAACTCTTGATCACTTAATTAGAATCATTTTCAATTTTCATCGTCTTATATGCTCCCTAATAAAATTGAATGCACTTTAATAACACAGTTTTTATTAACTATTAAAATAACTATTAACGATACAGATATGTATATATACACATACAGTATGCAAGTGTACATACAGTATTACACACATGCATATTAATGACTTCCGATATACTCCGTTTTATCGTGTTTGCTTTTTTTTTATCACAATACAAGGTTAATAACACATCTTTAAAGATCTACATGGAGCATTTTCTCAAGCATTTATCTCTTGTAATACTTAAATACTTTAACATAATGATTCGTCAGGTATTCAACCGCTCGTCACGCATGGTAATTCTCTCACTTTCACAATAAATACACACTAGTAATAAGATGTCACGTATAATATATTAATTATCGATATGTATGTATGTAATATTTAATGTATAATGATGTATTAATTATTCACATATAATAATATATCAATTAATATGTATGTATGTAATAGATAATGAAACTTGTAATTAAATTTCATTCAAACGTTGAAAATTTCTAAATGGTCTTAATTCAATGGCCAAGTGCCATACAATTGTTAATATATTAACACTTCGTTGTGTAAAGTATCACTTCATTTTTCAGTTTTAAGAAATAAATATAATACTTATCCTAAAGTTTTTCGAAAGCATATTATATGTCGTGTATAAATAGTTAAATATTTAATATTAGAAAATTACGATCGAACATTCTTATACTGTTAGATCTGATAAATTTAATCTGAAACAAAGAATATAGTTACATCATTCAACTTCATTTTTAATAAATGACTGACATTTCATAAAATTTATATGAATTTTTTAAATGTGATTGAAAATATATATGTCTATGTATTTCAATCCTTCAATTTCAATCCTAACTAATTAAGATGTCTCTGTAAAATTAATTTTTAGCTATCTTTAATTATTGCTCTTTTTATTTATATTAACTGATATTAATTGTTTTATTAACAGATGATACGGGTGATTCTATGTGCAAAAATAAGTTTAAAAAAAAGAATAATATTTTTTTCTTCTTCGTTTTTAAAAAACTCAAGTGTAAAATTTGGCCTTTTCTTAAATTTATTTTTGCATATAGAATGACCTCATGCTTTTACTATCCACCCTGAGATACATATTACGATTAAATTAAAAAGATTCATTTAAGTTGTATTTTATATGTTCACAATAATTTAAAACTATTTGAATATTTATAAATGATAATCTATATTCGCGACATAGAGATATGGCTTGATCTCAATTCGATTATCTTCTGCCGAGTCAAAGTTATATTACTCCGATCGTAATCGTCTTATGCTACGTCTAGTTAGAGAGGATGAGTCAGGTAGGTAGATTAATCGTGAATATTGATCACGTCCTCTTTGCAGTAACCAGAGAAAACAAAAGAACCGTCGAAATTACTAATTTAGCTAATTGCTTGGCAATCTTAGCTGCTTGCACAATTGCAACGATACAGATCGAAGAACTTTCAACGCTAAGGTAGCTCCATTATGTTACATTGACAGCCGATTGTCGATCGATATTCGCCAAAGAGGGCTTTCTAATTACTTGGCGAGTAATTAGGCTTGAACTTAGCTGGGAACAATTGGATACTTTATGCAATCGGCAGTGCATAGGTAATCGTGAGAAAACTACATATTCATTGGTAAATTTATTTGTTTATTTATCGTTAACAGAATTACAATCTTTTCAGTTGTCGTACACGCAGTGTACAAGAGAAGTTGTGTACAGAAAATTATAGAATAAAATTTTCTTACTCGAAGGTTAAACTTAATTTTCAAGGAAATGAAAGTTGAAAATCGAATTCGATAATTAATACGAACCTGTCTCACTTTAGATTATATAAAATGAATAATTGGCAGTAGAATATTCCAGAAACGCGATGTGAAAATAAATCGAAAGTGTAGAATAAAATATTTTCGTTTCTCAAATAATTAAATATTTATTCATCTGTTTGCACGTGAACCAATTTAATTCTTACAATTAAACATATTCAAATATCCTGTTTCCTTGAAAATGAATTTCAAAAACGAAAACGTTGATTGTTTATTCGCATACAGCTGAAAAATTAGCCAAAGTAAATTATCAGATTCAATCATCTCGATCTTATGTTTCGAACGAAAAAAATTTTATTCTTTTTTCTCATCTTATCAACGCTGTGTAGATACAACAAAAGTAACTTGCAGATATTAGCACATAAAACAAAAGCTATACAAAATTTCGTTGAGTCAGAAGAAATGTCCACAGAGTTGATCAAATGATATTATCGACTTTATTTGATCGACGTTAGATAAACAACACGTATACGCTAGAATTTTCAAGTTCATTCCTTTCGGTAAAAGTTCCTCCCACCGTGAAGACAAAGGTTGCACAATTATCAGTCGTGACGGTCTTCTATTAATTTTATTAGGACGACGTTTGCACGGTACGAGAGATAAATCAGGCGCTTATTATCAAGCGAAAATAGCGGGCTGATGCGAGCAGGGGATCCGAGTCATGCGACGGGGGTCGTGGAGGTCAGTACCGATTGGATCGTGCAGTTTCCACGTAGAAAATCGATCCGCGTGCTGCAACTGCGACTACAGCTTCAACCAGGGGGGAGGGCCCCCGTTGCGAACCGAGGCGGCCTATTACCGCGATCGGTTCGCCGCGGCACGACCGGCCACGAATCGACAAAAACCAGGAGACCCATCTCCATCCACCGTGTCCCTGATCTATGATTTAGAGACCCCTTAAACCTCAAGCTGGCACGATTAATAAATTACCCGGCAATTGCCGGGACTTGGTCGCGCATCTTGCGTTCCACGTTTCGCTATGCGTGGAATTCCGGCTTTATGCACACGATCGCATATCTCGATCGAAAGTCTATTCCGTTTCTTGCGTTAACCCCCCGTAGGCCCCCAGACGCGCGGTTCGTTGAGGAATTCTGCGGTTTTAAATAATGACACGCCGCGAAAATAGAAATCAAAGGCTGCAACGTTCTCTTTTTCACTTTACTAATCGCCTGTCTGGTAGCGACTTTAGCTGCCAGATCACAGCAATGGTCGTAACACCCACGTCCGATCCGATTGATCATATCGGTGGATTTTGTTGTAATACGATTCTCATCTTTCTCTCAGAGCCAATGCTTTCACCCTGATCCGCTCGTCCGATTCTCGCGACCGCGTCCACCTTCCAAACCATCCGATCCCATTTCTCCTGTGTCTGTACTGCTCTGGCTGTCACGTGCCTGCCTCTCTCGTTGCGTTATCATATCGTCGTCATCGTTTTACTTTCGCAAAAATCCAGTTCGCCGCGTTTCCCCCCTCGAACGGAAGGGGGGGAGATCACTTTCCCTGGCGTGGAAGCGTCAACACGTCGCGCCGCACCGGCCAGCTGACCACAGACCACGTAATCCCCGCATGGCGGAATATTCGCCGGGGTAAGGCGAGCCGGCAGCCTCGAAGCGATCCAGAATCTAAATCCAGTCGGATGCCCCTGGGCTTAGAAAGGCGTGGTAGCGCGGCGAATGTAGGATAGGACGATGTCGTCACGAGCTTGAAGAGGACGACGAGCGTGTAGGTGGTGAGCGTGAAGTTGGTCGCACTGTTCCTTCCGTGCAGAGAGTTTTCGATCCTGTCTCGATCTTCCTCGGTAATTAAATCGCGCTTCTTAACCTCTGGACTCTGAATAACTGACGAGCTGACGGACGTAATTACGTATCTCCGTATTTATTCGCTCGGTCCTCGTGACACATAACTCTCTCGCAACTGATGAACATTAAGGTCAGTATTTTTCAAAGAAGGAAAAACGCGTGTGCAGATTGCGCAAGGGTCGTTGTTCGAAATTCGTCGTTCGTTTTACGTTTGCTCGTCGGCTGTTTGTTACTAGACTGCGTATGCTTTTCAAAAATGCAAAAATGCATGCAGTACAAAAATATACAAAACATCTAAAGTAGAGTATTTATTATATTAAATATTTATATTCTGTTCCTTTAAATATATTGATAAAAGTCTAAAAATGCATAAAAATCCGTGTGTACTAATAGACAAGCACAATTCTAAACATTCGAAATTTTAAACGGGAAAATTTTATTTTTCGTTTTTCCAGATACTACATTTCTAACGGGAAGCTTTCGACCAAACCGTAAATATTCAGAACAATATTTTAGAACATTGCAACTTGTGAAATATAATATACCATATATATATATGTGTGTGTGAAAAAACGAAATTAACAATTTTAATTTAATTTATGAATACAAAATTCATATTCGAGTTCGGACACTTTCAAATGCTTGCTTCAATCAAAAACAAGAGTGTAGCATCAATAATAAATGTTAGAACCTAATGAACAAATTTTTCATTGAAAGATTAGCATACTTCTGCAGTAACTGTACTAGGACAAGCGAATAAAAAGGAAAATCGCGAACGTTTGTCGGTTTTACGGTACGCATTATTAATCGTTATCATTCGTTACTTGCATCTGGCTGTTACGACGAACGAGGGTGAAAGTTTGGTCTCGTTAACAGCGGCTGAAGGGCCTTTGTGCGAAACGGCCGAGCGGAAAAGAGAATGAGCCGGTCGTTAAGAGCCT